TGTGTAAAAGATGCAATTTTGAAAATTAATTACTCAAAAACGGTGCGGTGAATTGATCTGAAATTTTGGTGGTGAATTATTAATATATTTATCTTTCGATAAAAAAAATTCCATAAGTTTTTTGAAATATGCTTTTTATGGAGGTACTACCTTAAATAATATATTGTAATTTTTTGAGTTTCCTTTTTCCGTGTACACTTATTCGGGAGTGAAAAGTCGGTAACGTCACTTCAAGATAATACCGACTTTTTAAAAGCAAACTATAACAAGTATCATATGTATCCATTCAACAATGTTGACAATAGTTATTTACCTTCAACAACCTATTATATATTCTATTTGTAACATAAACCCTATTAACCATCAACCCATCAAGCACAAACATCTGCGCATAAACGTGAAACCCAGCGTCAAATATGACATATTTAAATTACAGTTCGGTATAAAGGCTTCGCGGTCATCTGCTGTCAATACCAACAGGATAGTGCCATACGACACCATACCACATACGTACAATACCAATAGCAATAGATCGAATGTAACCACGAAGACAAACAGATCATCTACTGTTTCCGGCAACCGTCGCATCCCTCACCAAAATTATTTATGCATTATTTATTTCTAGCCATATTATAGTTACAGTTGTTTTTAGAACATTAAGCTGATGTGAAATCCATCTAGAATCTAAAGCTAGCAGATATAAGTAAAGCCAATAAATTCATCTTGATAAAAAAAATTTATGCTTTTGACATATCGATTGACTTTCATCCTCAAAGATTAACAAGAGATTTATTTCCAGCTTTTTTACGATTCTTTGATTCTCAATTCAGTTAATCTATTTCTTTTTTTTCTGTATTTATCGAATTTTTTTTTTTCGATTCCTATATTCTATCTTCTATCCATCCAATGCTATTGGTCAAAGGATCTTGGGTATTAATAGTGCACAATGTAAATGAAATACGATGAATAAGGTCAGTAGTGTAAGTTGATCGGTAAAAAAGTAAAAAATATTTTTTTTTTTTAGCTAAAATAGAAGAAATATGTACATATACTTAGTCATATACGTCAGTAAAGGGTTTTACGTATGTAGGTATGTATGTCGGGCGTAGGAGGACGTCGAGCATATCGGCTGGGGCGTGGCGTGAATATTTCACGTATACCACCGACAAAACGAATAGAACCCATGGAGAAGCTTTAGTCGAATAGGTCAGGGTTCAACGTTACTTCTCTTTATCTTTTTCTAGTTGCAGTTGGATTTTTACGTACAGTACAGCAGTCCAGGCTATTTTCTCTCTCAGCTCACTCTCTACTCATTTGAGCATCCTTTTCCTTCTTCAACATTTATCCCGATCGTTTTCTCTTAACTCTCTCTCGTTACCTACAAACTGAACGCTAGTGGCATCAAATATACAGTTATATGCCGGATACGAAACACGAAGAGGGTGGTATTTTCCCCCGATTCAAAAGTTACCCGAGGGATTAACGTTACGACATCAAACTTCTACGTACACGATTTTCTCTAGATACTCATCGATAATGCCAGCTTTTAAATTATTTTTCCTTCATTTTTTTCATTTTATTCTATAACTTCTTTCTTGGGCTAGTTTTTTTTAGTTGCTTTTTTTTTGCTGATGCTAATTATGCTGCTAGTGGAAGAAAAGTCGCATTAAAGGAAGAAATGCTTGTCTTGCGACTTTTAAAATGTTAAGAAGAAATTTTTATTACTTTTTAATACTTTTGAATGTTAAAAGTTTAAGATATTTTTAAAATATGCTTTTAAATAATTGGCTTAGTGATAAGAAAAAATATCAATGGCATACTTCTTTAATATTTTTTTACTTAAGTAAAAAATACATTTATAAATACTCCGATAAAATTATAATTAAGTTTTAAAAAAAATTTATTTTTAATCAATATTTATTCATAATATTTATAAATATCTTTATTGTATCCACTACTGCAAAAATTATTTTGTAACAGCCTTGGCATTATTAAACAAATAAATAAATATAAAATTTTTTTGACATTTACATTCTCTAAAATAAATTAAATAAGAAGTAAAAAGTAAAAAAGTCTAACATTAAAAATTAATTACTGCCCAAAAACATATAAAGCCCTTTAAAGGTATAAATTAAGGAAATTTGATTATAAAAACTATAAATAAATAATTAATTCATTGCCCGAATTTTTTTCTTGATTTTGATACTCTTAATTTAAGAAATTTTTCCTTCAGTCGATAAGTATGAATACTTGATTCAAAAATATGATCTTCTGTCGGTATAACCAAATTTTCTAACTAATTACAATTGTATATTGTAACTGATGGTGTATTTATAATTGAATTGTTACTTGGACTAGTTTCTCGAAGTATTACATTACACAAATGCTATTTTGAGTTGAAATAAAGTCAGAAACTAATGCAGCGGGGAGAAACAAGAAGTTCCATCCTATTCCTTGGGACAAAACTGATTAGCTTACTCACTAATTCACATTGACCTAAAATTGTCTTGTTTAGAATTTCTGCAGACATTTAACTCTGTTATAAGTACTTATAATAATTGTAATAAGAAAAAGTAAAGAATTATTTACTATCGACGACCCGTTTTTGATAATGAACAAAAGATCAATAAAAAAGAGACTTAAAAATAAGAATTTAAACCAGAAAAAATGTTAAGAAAGAATTTTAATTTACAAATGTAAGAAACGGAATAATGAAAAACGTGATAATTATGCTGAAACGAATTTCTCCCCTAGAACATTACCAAGTCAAGTACTAATTTCAATCAATTAATTGAAAGTATTCACCCTTGTTACTAATTCTATTTCCACTCGAATAAACCTGATTCTAATCATTGCCTTTCTGATTTCATCTTACAAATTCAATTAACTTACTGAGAATAAACAATTCGCAGATAAATAAAATATTACCCTCTTTTACAGTCACAGCACATTACCCGATATCGACATTCACTTTGCATTTACTCCCAAAATTTTTAACATACACATAAAATACGGTTTTATTACTAGAAAAAAATTCCACTAAAAAATTATCTTAAAGCAAGCAAATTAAATTATTTTATTTATTTATTTATTAAATTAAGCGAAGTAAATAAATTAATCAGTATTTATATAGTTTTTTCATGCAAATATTTTAAAATTATTTTTTATTTATTTACGCGTGAATTTAAAATTAACATTAAACAGTGAAAAAATCAAACAATAAATCTTATAGTATACATAAAAAAAAATTAATTTTAATCAAGTAAATAATTTTGAAGAAATTTTTCTTGGCTTTAGTAAATTTTATTTGATTTAAAACAATTAAATTCTTCAAAATTATTCTCTTAATTAAATTTTAATTGTATTTCCAGTTTAAGAATAAACCATTTTTTATTTATATTTTATCAAAAATTTCTTCAAATAATAATAAAAAAAAAAGCGCGCAGTAGCCTATCGGATTCGGCCCTTGCTACCAAAGCATTGGACCGGGTTCGAATCCGGCGTACACCAATGAATATTTTCAATATTTAAGTGTATTATTCTGCTCAGCCCAAGAAATAAAACGAGTTCCAATCTCAAAAGTTTACCCCCTAACTTTAAACAAATTAAAAAAAAAAAAAATTACCGAAAAACACTTTAACATGTCTCCGCAATTCGATAATTTTTTATTAACTATCAAGGACGGTGTTGATCATGAATCGTTTGTAGATTGAATTACCCAGTGACACAGTGTCATCATTTAACAAGATATTGGTGACACGTGCGTTGGGGCGGTAAATGTAGATCGTCTTGAAGAAGGAGGATGAAAGGAAAGGGCACAGGTATCAGGCACCAGACACAGACCCCTGGGAACCATTAGCCAAAGTGATGTCAAGCCACGGTAATATTCCCCGACGTTGATGAGATTGTCTTCCATACTTTAATGCACTTTTGTTGATTAAAAAAAAAGTATATTTAATAATAACATTGACATCGGCAATAATAATACCTGTCATAATATGTTTACGATAATTTTCCTCTACGTGTCGATCATTTATTCGATGAGCAATTTTTCACGCCCAATAATTCAATTAAATGTCTCATCCCGGTTATTAATCACCCTGCTTGGAAAAATTCGTTCAAGAAATTTACTCTCGCGAATAATGATAATGATTTGGGGAAAAAAAAACTTTTTCCACTCCCTTAGCTTTAGATATTAAGTTATTTATTATCTCGGATTGTCGGAGGAGGTAAGCAATAAATTTCACGACAAAGAGAACGTCATCGAATGGAGGGTATAGATAAATTAAGCCTGTGGTATTAGGTAAATGTTCTAATATATAGTATAGATTTGTATAAAAAATAAAAAAGTTGTTAAAAATAAATAACAGCAGGGCCCTGGTGTGGCATAAGCTTTCAGTAGTATTGATTACAGGCTCCTATCCACCATCCAGGTAGAGGTAGAGAAGAACCAGCAACTAGCAACCAGGGTCAAATGCCCACCCTCCTACTCGCGGTGTACTCTTCCGCCCCATTTCCATCTATGTCGTTAGCTCTCACCTTTCCTACTGTACACTCTGACCCCTTCTCCTGGCATAGACTAGTATAGCGCTCTTGTTGAATCTGAACCCAGCTCTACTCTGCAAATCTGCAATACTAGTTTATCCGGTTAACCTCCTTCTGTCCTTCTCTCTTAATGTTTTCCAAACAGGGCATTCGCATTCTCGTTACCGGTCCGTTTGCTTCCTATTATATCACCTGTAAAGATCTCCGATGTACCACGACGGTCACGCACCGGATATTCCGTCAATCTGACGACAACGTAAACATTGTATTGGGTTTATGTTAGAGCTAAGGAATACCAAGTGACCAGATTAAATTCTAGGTCATAAATATGTCGAATAGCTCAATGGAATTTTATGTTAAGGTAGTACGAGTACCAAGGCAACTTTTGATAAAAGGCTTGATTTTTTTTTAATATCAAGTTTAAATATGTCTAAATAAATTCCGAAAATTAGAGGGAGATTGCCCGATTATTTATGACACTGAAGTTGGCAGACGTCTAAAAATTTTTGATTTTTTTTTTTAAATTAAATTACAACTAAAAAGATATTTCTAAAAAATTGCACTCATAATTCTTCAAGTTTTTTACATGTGACAATTTTTTTTTTAATTGTTTAATTGAAATTTCTTCAATAAAAAATTTCTAAAAATTTTGAAATATCACCTAACTTCATTTTCATAATTATTTAAATAAATAATTAACTTTGAAGTTGTGCAATTTAACATTGGTCTTATGAGATAATCTCGAAATATAGTACTGATACATTTCTGAATTTTTCCCGTAAATATTTAAAAAAAAACTTATGGATAAAAGTAAATATATTAGTGATAAATTTCATTCAAAGAAATTTATACCTGCCCGACTGATTAAAGTGTATTAATTAAAAGAAAAATAATTGCCGCCATTAGCCAATGTTAAATCTATATATTAAGAAAAATCATGCGGCTAAAATTTTTTTTTTGATCTTTACAAATTCTTTTTATACATTTAATGTCTGAATCACAACAATTTTAATAAATTTATTGACAATTGATAAGATAAATTTGTTGATCTATTTTATTAACAATAATTATATGTCAAAATTTTTTTTTTATTTTAAAATTGAATTTTTTTTTTCACAAGAGATAAATTGTAATTTTACTGAGCATTTTTTTTTTTTAATATTTAAAAAAGAAATAATTATTATTTATTATTTCTTAAATTATTTTTATACATTTAATAATGATATAAATTATAAAAATTATTCAATTCAATATTTTGTTAAAACTCAATGTTAAAAATTTTTGTGTTAAATATTTAACACTTTTATGTATAAATTAAATACTTATTTTATTAAATCAATAGAAAAAAGTGTTAAATATTTAACATAAAAATTTTTAACACAAAATTTTTTGACGCAAAATTTTTTAGTGTCGAAAAAAACATTTTAGAAAAATTATTTTCTTCAAAAATCCCTTTCTTTTAAGAAATATCTCAAGAAAAAATAATAA